TTTTTGTTTTTTTATCCTTCTTATTCTTTCCTCACTCCATTTTATTCTTCAATTAAAAATAATAAATTAAAATTTGATAACATAAATCATTTATTATTACTGAAAAACAAAAAAATATTTAAATAATCCAAAAATACTATAATTTAATATATTATATTAAAAAATATTTATTTTAAAGTATTTTTTAATAAATATTTTTTAAAATGATCTAATCTAATTAATTATCATAACTCAAATTTATTATAATTTATGTAATAATTAAATAAAAATATATAAAATTTATAAATATTTGATATTTTATTAATTAGATAAGTAATTATTATGAGGATAAAATAATTTTAAATTAATTATTTATGTAATCATAAATAAATTATTTATTTTTAAAATAAATAAAATTATTTATTATTATCTTATTTTTAAATAATTAGTTAATATTTTTAGTTTTAATATTATTTTTAATATATTTTTATTAAATTTTAATATTGTAGTTCAATTAAGAGAATAGGTGAGAAAGGAGGGAGAAACAAGAAAAAAGAAAGTAATAAATGAAGGAAGAGAAAAAAATAAAAAATTTATGAAAAGAGAAGAAAAATTATATATAAATAATAAATAAGTGTATTTGAATAAATAAATTTATATAAGTTATATGTGAGTAATTTATATTTTAAAATATATTATTTTTAGGATTTTTTCAGTAAAATAAAATAGGATTATAATGAATTAAAATATATTAAAAATATTTTTTATATTGTATTTAAATTGTAATAGGATAGGAGAAGAAGAAAATAGTTATTAGATTTTTCACTGGATATAATTTTAAAACATTTTCTTTATAGATAATTTTTCTTTGTATGATATACTAAAAATAAATAATTTAATAATGATTCAATATTATATTTTAAAATTAATATATAGAAAATAAATTATAAGTATCTAAAAAAATTAAATTTATTTAGAATAAAAATACAACTATTAAAGTAATTATTGAATGAAAAAAGTAAACAATATATATTTACTTTATTTACATTAAATAATAAATATATTATTTAATTACATTAAGTATTAAAGAGTAATTATTTTAATTTGAATTCCTCTTATTACATTAATTATATTAATTAATTTTTTCAATGCTAAAGGGACTATAATGATAAGGATTAGAAAAAGATCAGTTAAAATTTTCAGAAATTTAAAATTAACAAATATTTTTTAAGGAATTAAAAATAAAAAGTTATATTTGCAGGGATTAGAAGTATATTTAAAAATTTATTGTCAATAATAAATATTTGACAATAAAAAAATTAAAGGAAAGACCTGGTAATAGTAAAATTTTGTAAGAAATATAATACATTTGAATTAATGAATTAATATTTAATGCAAATTTAAAAAAATTAATTAATATATTAAATAAATTTGGAAACTATTATATAAATACAATTATTTAGTATACGATCACTATAAGATCATTTTAATTATTAAGATAAAGTGGTTAAAGATGGTGCTGTGTTAATTATAATTTTTAAAAATTAATATAATAATTGAGATATTTTTAACAAGAAATAATCTATAGATTTTAGGGATTTTGTTATAACATCTTAAAAAAAATATTATCAAGTTTGTAATAAAAATAAATATTTTAATGTGAGTTTTATATTTAAATTGCTTAAAAATAAAAAAAATTATTTAGATAAATAATGATAAAATTTTAAGCAGTTTAATCGTGAAATTATAATAAAATATTCAATAATTTTGTTTTCAAATAACTTTATTTAAAAACTTTTTTTTATATTTAAAAATTTTATTATTTAAAAAAGAGATAAAATATTTAAAGATTTGATAGAAAAGGATTTAATAAATTTTTAAATAATTATTAATTCTTTCCTCTCATAATAAATCATTTTTTATATGATATTTTCTTTTTCAATAAATAGAAATTAAAATATTTGTTGACAGCTGGATCTGAAATGTACACCCATTTGCAAAGTTTGGTACCTCAAAACCAAACCCTAAATTTATTTTCCTATTTATACGTTTCTCTCTTCTTTCTTCACTCCATCACAGACCTCTCAACTTCTCCCTCTCTCTCTCTCTCTCTCTTCCCCACAAATGTTTCTCAGCTTCCCTTAATTTACTTTTTTTCTGCAGAAATTTCACTACAAGCTTTCTGATTTGTCTATGCATACCAATCAATCCATTATTGTACAGTATTATTTTACTATTAAATTCTTACATTTTTTGTGTATTTTTTTATTTTATATATCTAATTTGTGATGGATTATGCATAACTGTGTAGCAAAGTGCTAAGAAAATAGTTCATGGCAAAGGGAAAAGGCCTACAAGGGGAAGGAGATTAACATGGAAAAGGAAGAAGGAGATTTCAACAAAAGGTCGAAAAAGTTTATTATGTTGTTCTATGCATTAGAGAGCTTCTAATCGCTATGAAGAAGTGCTTTTTAATTAGTGTTATTGGATCCTAAACTTATGATTTGATGATTAGATTTAGATATAAAGTACTTATGCAAATTTTTTTGGGATAACTAAAGGTCTTCAATTTCTTTATGTCACTTCTATTTTTTTTTTCCTAAATTTATGCAAAAGACCTTCAATTTCCCAACTAGATTGCTTGATAACAAGTACTTTATATCTGAAACCAAACAATAAATTATAAGTTTAGATTATAATAAGTCAATATACACTAATCAAAAAGCATATTTTAGTTACACTAATGATTAGAAGTGTTGATGCGTAAATCAACCTAATGAACTTTTTCTCTCTTGAACTTTCCTTTCTTCCTTGTTCGTGTTGGTATCTTTCTTGTCGCAGGCCTCTATTTCTTTTTGTCATCAATGGCTTTCTTAGAACTATTGCTACATTTGTATTTAACATAATCAAAAGGTGACAGAAGAAACTTTTTCATTATGTTCTTTATCTTTGAGAAAATGTTTAAGTGTGACATGATAGACTTTTATTCTTTTTATACGATGTTTATCCTTATCTCATGGTCATTTTATGAGTATATAGATCAAACCCTGAAATCATACTTCTTATGAGTAATTGAAATTATGTAAAAAAATCAATTAATTTATGAGTATGTTTACTTTTTTTTTTCTTTATTCCCTTTCACTTCCATAAGTTAACCAAGAAGAAAGATTTTGAATTCAAGAACCCAAGTTGCTGTTTTGTTTTGGGTTGTTTTCTCGCAGTTTGATTCATTGGTGGGTTAAGGATGTTCATTATGGGTTCGTGGGACAAGGGTCATGTTTTTTCTTACCACGTCATTGTATAAAAGAGAAGATTGCGGAAATACTATGCAAGAAAATCTTCGGATAACTTAATGTAATAGATTTAAGAAAAAATTATTTTAATCCTTCCAAAATTTATGAAATTCTATTTTATTCTCTTGTTTTGTAAGTTTTTTTTTTCTTGATTTTTGGATTCTTGATGTGATTAGTGTTTTATAAAGTTCTACCTCTACCATTGGGCAAGGAAAAAAAGTGATTTAGATAACACTCTTGAGAAATCAAACTTGATAGATTTCAACTAACTTTATGAATTTTAGCTGACAAAATATATATTTAACCTTATTTTTGAATAAGAAAATATAAAATATAAATTAATAATAACCAAGATAAAACAAATGAAAAATCAATGCATAAAATTATTTTAAACAAAAAAATTAATATTTGATTTAAGAGATCCTCTTTTAGAATTATAAAATTTTATCGTGTTTGAATTTGGATACAGGAAAGAAAAACGGACTACAAATTTGCATTAATTTATAATGAATATTTGTTGATTTAGTGATTTTAATTTTTTATTTCTTTATTAAAACAATTAATGGGAAGGGTTGGATGAAAAAAAGGACATAATCTATTATGTTTGAATTTTTTATAAAAAAATATTTTGTTTTTAATTATAATTATAATAATAATAATAAATTTAAAAAATAAAATATTAAAATAAATTTATTTTACTTTTCTCTTATTCTCACTTTTATTTTTAATCCAATTTTTTTTCTATTTTCTCAAATCCACTATCTAATCACAATCTTTTTATTCATTTTCAACTCTTTTTTCTCTTATGTATAATATTATGTACAATGAGATCCTTCTAGATGATTCTTCCATGGTCCTTACTATTCGTCCCCTCTTTTATACTAAAATAAAAATCATGCAATCTATTTTTCTCATGTATGTCTTCAAATTCAAGTTTCCAATACGAGTTTTGCTTTCAAATTAACATTCTTATGTAATGATCTATCTATGTTCATTACGATCCATTCATCCACATGTTTATCAATCTATATCTTATCCCTCCTCATCTTGTGTTTTAGATCACCGTTCAATCCTTCACATCCATTTATAAAAGATCTTGAAAAAAGCATCAAGACCGTATTGAAAAATTGCTACCAAACTGAAGCAAATAGAACATTACACCTACTAATAATCAAGATCCACGACATCTTTCTTTGGGATCCCCTTTTTCCATTAATCTCTGCAAGCAATGCTGAGAAGAACCAAAATATTTAAAAAGAAAAAGACATTACAAACATTGTATTTCATTGCTATTTGGAAGCAATCAAAACATCAAATGTAACTGCAAAGCTTAGATAATCTCAAAACACTTATAGTTAGTGTAAGTTGATAGATACCCTTCCTATAATTAATAAATATCTCACATCAAAAACAACATTGATACTAAAAATTTCAACTACAGGCCAAAAGTCAATTGCATCCAGCTAGTTATACAGTTTTCATCCTCTATCTGAACTGAACCATCCCTTCACAACCGGGGATTTGTATTGACAAATTGAAATCCTAAAGCTGTAAAAGATCAAAACAGAATAAAAACTATGCTTGCAATCAACAAGCACAGTGATAAATAAATATAGCCTACATTATGCTGATTGGATTACCAAGAAAAGCATCTGCCTCTCTACAAAAGCCACATGTAGGTGGAGCAATATGCTTCCCAAGAAGAGTGGAAACAAGCAAAACCTAAGACTATCCACAGCAGCCACCCCTTTTTTCACCAGCATTCATGTCTTGGTTAGGAACAATTATCTTGGTTCCCCTCAGAAGCCCTGCACTGCCATTTGGATCTGCATCATCATTGGCAGTAAGTGTTTTCTTGCTTATAAGTCTGTATATCTCAGTTAGAATGGTCAGAAAGGCAGTTTCCACATTAGTGGACTCAAGTGCTGATGTCTCCATAAAGAATAGGTTCTCTCTTTGCGCAAACTCCTCTGCGTCTTCAGTTGGCACTGCTCTAAGATTTCCAAGATCACACTTATTGCCAATTAGCATCACAACAATATTTTTGTCTGCATGGCCTCTCAGTTCCTCTAACCACTTTGCCATATTATCAAATGATTGACGCTTAGTCATGTCATAAACTAACATTGCTCCAACAGCACCACGATAATATGCACTAGTAACTGCCCTGTACCTGACAAAAGAAAGAAGAGATTTCAGAAGCTGAGTAGCAAATAGAAGCCTCAAACTCTAAAATAAAGAAAACAACTAAAGTTGTGACCAAGATGTAAACCAAGCTAAAGCAGAAAACATGTATATATAATCAAATTAGAATATTAGAATACTCCTAAGAACCTTTCTGATGTTTAGGAAATCACCACTTGAAATTTTTTACTATTTTATAATTTGTCATTTACATCCATATATTTCATCACAATCAACAGCAGTAATTCCACACTTCACCACTAAAGTGCATCCAAGTATCCAAATTTTAGAGTTAATCCAAGTAAGACATAGAATGAGTTTAATTTTCATGCACATGTAAATAATTTTTTTTTATTGTCAACCAATCAAAAATCATTTTAAGTATGACTTTTAATTGACACGTCACTTTTGACGTACTAGAGATCCATTTTATTTTATCCTTTCTTCCTCTCCCCTTTACTTTCTCTTTATGTAAGTTACCAAGCGTGCAACAAACTTATCATTCATAGCCATCTATCTTGTTAGATGAGTCACGAAAACTACATTATTGATACATTCTAATTAAACTCAAACAACATTAATTATTAATATATAATACATAACAACCATGCAAATCTTGATCACGAAATCATCCAATTCAGAACAATCATAACTAAATTTTGCCGCGGGAACACCAAAACACACTTCCATTTCCTTTTCCACTTGAACCCCCTTCCTCCCACATTATAAGTTCCTAACATAATCAAAACCATTCAATTCAACCTTTACACAAAACCAAATGAGCTCCAACAATTTCCATTTGTTTTCATATACACTATGAACGCGAGACTTTGCACTCAATCCCTACCATAAAACTCGTCGAACAAGTAACAATTATAGTAAGCTTGATTACTCTGAGTCAGTGGGTTTGAGAAAACTCAAAGCTCAAATCATTTGCAATACTGCAAATAATCCAAACCACATAATAACACGTTCTTATATTAATAAACAACACGAAAAATGAAAAAAAAAAAAAATTGTAAACGACATTCCACCAAGCAAAACAACACGCAATTTCCAAATTGATTTTTCAACAGTACAACGACAAGGGTGAGAACAATTAACTATGCATTTCGAAGGTCTCATCTTAATTATTGTTATTGTGTCGAGGGGATTGAATTTATGAGAAGCAAAACGACAGGCAAATGAAAGCGAAACGCGGAAAGACGAGAGGACCTTTCTTGGCCGGCGGTGTCCCATATTTGAGCCTTGACGGTTTTGTTATCGATGATGAGCGTTTTAGTCTGAAACTCGACGCCGATGGTGGCTTTGGAATCGGCGCTGAATTGGTTTCTGGCGAAGCGCGCGAGGAGCTGGGTCTTGCCGACAGCGGAATCACCGATCAACACCACTTTGAAGACGTAATCGATCTTCTGGTTGAAATCGCCGTACAGGTTCGACATCCCGCGGAATTGAGACGATGATGGTTACGCGAGACGGAGGTTGCCGTTGGCGGCGGCGGAATTTAGATGAACCATTGCGTACGGTGGTTGATGTTGATCATGATGATCATGACATGGTGGTGAACGGAAGAAAGATGGAAAACGCGGTCGTTCTGTTTGGTTGACAAAAGAAGAGGCGAGAGGAGGAAGGAGAAGGGTGGTGGCCGTTTGGGGGGTGGGAATTGTGATTTGTTACATTTTTTAATTCAACAATTTTTATCTTTGAAAATATTAATCCTATTATAATTTATTACCGTTTTTTTCTTTCTTTGATTAATATAAAATGTATAAATAAAAAATAAAAGTATAATGAATCATTTCAAATTTCATCACATGCTTATAAAGTAATTACATGTACTTATTATTTTACTTGAAATACATTTTAAACTAACTAATAAAAAATAAAAACAAGTATCAACATACATTCAATGCTAGACTACAGTATTTAAATGTTTTTATATCGATCAAATATTTAATATTTTGATAAAATACAATATTAAATAATTTTAAAAAATTACTTATTTCTAGAAAAACATAATAGTATATTATTATTATTATTATTATTAAAATCATTAGTAGTATAAAAGATTTGAATAAATTTTTCATTAAAAATTATATATATATGAATTTATTGTTTGTTACGTAGTTATTGTACCTCAAAATATATTTTAATTAAATTAATATAGTGTTTAATACACTATATACTTTTGAAATTTTTAAATGCTAATTAAGATCCTTAGGTTATATATATATATATATATATATATATATATATATATATATATATATATATATATATATATATATATATATATATATATATATATTTTCGCACCACTGTCTTTTCTATCACGTTAATGTTTATCATTTTTATGCGTAAATTTAACTACATATTTCTGTCTTTAATTCTGACTTATCATAAATTTTATTAAATATTTACAAATTTATTAGTTTATATATATATATATATATATATATATATATATATATATATAATTGAGTGCATCTTTTTTCTTCTTCCTATTTTTCTTTCAAAAAGTTTGTCTACAAAACATTTCAAGAGAAATCAAGTGAATAGAAAAGATAAATACATTTTTAATATTAATTTATCTCTACTATCAATGTCATATGTAATTCTTGGTAAACTTACCAAATTTCACTCAACATAATGTATTTAAGTAATATTTGTTTTCACTTACCAAGCTTATCAAATTTACCAGATACTTTTTTCAACAAATCATTTTTTATTCAAATAATATTTCATTTGCGTGGTAAAGAAAAAGAAATATAGTTGAGAGTAAAAAGGAAGTATAATTGAGAATTAAATTATTTGAATTGGAGAGTGGGAGTAAAAAATGAAAAGAAAAATTATATTAATTAAGCAATAAAATGAATTACTAAAATACTTTACTTAAAGTTTAATAAAATATATCAAATATGAAGTAATTATCTTATATAATTATTTAGTTGAAGTCTGAGTTCCCTAGAATCTTAACCTAGAAATCGAAGAAGCCAAACGATTTGCATTTTGTAACAGAGCTTCAATCTTATTGGAGGACTCTTCCTTGTGTTTTCACCCTAATACATGCATTGAACAATCATGATACTCAATACTTCATCGGCACGATTTTGTTTTCATTGATCAATAATTGATAATAATCAGAAGGGAGTAGTATTTCTTCACACCCTTGTCTGGAGTGCAATAATTTGAATTCCATTTAATTATAAACGACAAGTGACGGCTAGATTTTGTGGAGTAGGTCCAAACTGTCTTGGATATTTTAATGAAAAAAACAAAGAAAAACAGCCAAACACGACATGATTTTATTCTCTTTCCATGTTTTCATTAGTGCCGAGGAAACTGGTGGGAATCGACAGGATAAGGTTTGTACAGAGTGAGAAAATCAAGACTGGGTCGTCTAGGTTGTTGCAGTTGGTCATAAATGAAGGCCTGCGTCAACCTTTTCTCTCTGTGTCTACATCAATAATCAGTGAGACCCTTCTATTAAGGGCAAAACAATTCAAATGTTCTGCATCCATGCCCCTGCACTAACGAACATTTTTCTTCCTACTAATTCTATGCTCCAACTATTCAATCATGGGAACCGACAAATACACCTCATCTGTAAAGAAAAGATTTAGTAACACTTTACCATTTCTATAAAAACTAAGGAAAGAAAGTACATTTACCTTATAAGAAAACATTTATTAGAACTCTCGGGTACACAATATTGCAAACATGCTCCTTCATTTATTGACCACCAAATTGCAACACCCTTTTGCTTAAATGCTAGGATTCGGTGTACATATTTTACTTTATATGGTGAAAGGGATTTTGAATTTGTGAAGGGATTTTTTTCATTTTAAGTTTTATACTATGATATAAAATTTTGAAAGATACATGGTATAATAAAAAGATTAATTTTTTATTATTGTTATAAAAAGTTTCTTTACACAATAATATATTTATTTCTTTCCATGTTTATATCATTCGTCAAACATGTAAAAGGAACTCACTTTACTTTTTTATCTTCCAATTTTTTTCATCACTCATCAAACATGTAAGGAGAATTTTCTCTCCCTCTTTATCTTCCTATTTCTATCAATTCAAATAACACATCTTTCTCGTCTTATTTCTATCTGTTTTTCATTTTTCCTATTTTTGGTAATAACATCCTATATTAGCATCTTTCTTTCTACTTGTTCAGCATTGAAGTTAAAAGCAGCAGTCCAAGCCATCTTTGCACACTTTATGTATCTTCCTTTTGCATGGTTGAACACTTGCAGTTTGCCCGTTTATCACTAAGAGTCTGCATGTGTATGATAAATGAATGAATAACAATAACATGATGCGTTGCTTTTGAATTTGTAAACTTTGTATGTTCTTTTATGTACCTTAAATTGTTTCTGAAGATCTTTAATGTATTCAACAGCCAAGTCCAACATGTCTGCTGTGTTGGTTTGCTGCCAAGAGCATGAAGAAGAATGTTAACTTTTCAACAACAACTACACCGTATGAAACATATAATGTGCTTATGAGTCTTACCTTGTCCATGTTTGGGACAAGCTCTTGCAATTTTCTCATTCTTTCACTGATCCGAGTTCTTCTAACCTGAAACAGGATATAACATCTCAGAACCATAATGTTTTCAAACTACTTCATGAATTCAACATGATCTAAACAATATCTTCTTCATTGTTTTGGATCCAAAAATAAAACTACTTTCTTCCAATGAGTTTAATTTTGTTATACTAAGAGTATATATGGTTTTCACATGGTTGATTAATCAGAAATCATCAATTTTTAAAATAATTGTTAAAAAAATAAATATTCTTACCTTCACAAAAAGATGACAGTATAAAAACCTTTAACATTGTCAGTACATTCTGATTAAATTAAATTCCAAAGACAAAATCCTACCCTTTCAGCAATGCTTCGAGGATGAGTAGCACACCCTCGCTTTGCTCTGATTTTACAAGGAACAGAATCAGGGAACTGAAGCAACTTCTCCATGGTAATCATCTCTGCTGAAGTTTTTGGTAAACTCAAGTGATGTGATAATATGTTAACTTGGTTTCCTAGCTCTCCATTCTGAGCACAACAAATTTTATTTTTTTTTGAATTAAAAATAAGAAATGAAAATGAATCAGATACAGTAAGAAAATAGAGCAATCAAGCATCCAATAATTACCTGAACATCAGAAAATATCTTTTCATTGCCACTTCTCCCTCTTTTCAAGCCGCTGAGATTTTCTGAGAGTTGTGGAGTCTCGTTCCAAGAACCATAGGGGAATTCAGGGCCAAAATGTTGAGTATCATTACCTCCATGACTCGTATCATCATCAGGGCTAGTTGCCTCGACGTCTTCACTCCCTATTTCGGAGATCTGAGACAACATTCCCAGGGAAGAAGCATTTCTAGGTGAGAAGCTAATCTGATTCTTCAATCTGCTAATACATGGACTAAGTTCACTACTATTGCAATTCACTCCACCATAGTTTCCAACACCTTTTATGGTGGCAAACCCTGCCATTTACAGATTGATAACTTCTAATTAGACTTAAGAATGAATAGAATTGTAGCCCTCAAAAAACAAAATTGTCTTCACAAAATATGATGCAGGGTCAGGTTATATATCATGTTCTCCAAAACAATCTAGAATCTAGTCCCTCAAATAGAAATTCTTAGAACAGTATAAGCTTAAATTTCCAACTTGTGTCTCTAAGTACACTAAGTGATAAAGTTGAAGCATAAGAGAGTTGAATAAATGCCGAGCATGGGAAAATTCCAATCTGGGAAGAGTTTGAATACTGGGAACTGCATCTCCCATCCAAGAATAGACAATGTGGATCATCAGATTATAAACAAACTCGAAATGTATAAAAAGTATTTCCCAGAATCATTACTTCCTATTTTCATACACCAGAATCTCTATCCTTCAAAGTAGTAATTGCAACTCAGTTCAGCATGGCTGGTAGTCAATAATCTCTTTTCATTATTCCTTTAATAAATTGCATAGATTCAGATTATAAGCGCTGCTATAACTAATTAGAAATGAATTCTTTTTTCCAGAAACATGAATATAATATAAACATTAACCCAGTTTTCATGATCTGTTTCATTTTCTGTTTTCTTTACAAATATTTCAAAATATATAGAAAACAATATGACATTAAAAGAGTAAAAGAGGAAGTGAAAAAAGAAGTAAAGGAGCTCAAAATTTCCTAAAGTGTGGCCAACAAAAGAAAACATATAAAATGTCCAAAAAGAATCTATCTTTTCTATTCTTGTACACTAAAATCTCTAGGCTTGTAACTGTAAATATTCATATCCGTTCAGTACAACACAGCTTGTAACTACTACTCATCAAAATCATGTTACAAATCCTCTGTTCTATTCACAACCAAGGTCAATATAACATTAAAAAAAAAAAAAAATACCATTTTGAAAGGAAATATTGTTGTTGGAGAAAAGGCCAGCAGGAGAGCTACTCTGTCTGTGAAGACCTGACCCAAACCCCTTATTTGGAGCTTCATGATTCATTCCCATTGAATCCACCAACCCATAAGACCCTTCCATAGCAGAACTCGAAGTAGCAGAAGAAGAACCGTGTCTCGGATAGTGAGGTGGCAACCCCCCACCATAACCCTTATGCGAATTCATACAACTCAAATCCTTAGAACAACCCTTGTTGTTGTTTTCTTCCAACTCCTTGAAGCTACTTGAAGCAACAGTGTCACCACCGTAACTCACGAAAGGTGTGAGATTTGAAAGGAGCGAACTCGGTGCAGAGCGAAAACGAAGTAACCCAGAAGAGGGTTGGTTCTGATGGTGCAGTTGGTAACCCTGATGATGATGGGCATGGGAATCCATTGTTGCACAATTATATACTAATAAGTCACCGTAAAAAGATAAAAAAATAAAATAAAGGTAAATTCAGGATGGAATGAGAAGCTGGGGAATCATTGTTGAAAAGACTGGTCACTTTTTATCCCGAGGAAAAAATTCTGGGAATTTTTTTTTCCTTTTATGTTTATTTGGTGTGTTTTTCAGCTTAGGAACTAAGCTGGGGTGGGATAAGATCTTGTAGGAGAAGCAAGAAAGGATGTGAGTTTGCACACAGTTCGAGGAAGGGAGAGAGATCCATTGAAAGGGACTAGTTTGGTTGAGAGAGGGAGAGGGGTGTGTGTGTGTGTATATAGAGATAGATAGATAGGGCTAAATAAAAGGGTGTGTGTGTGTGATGTGTTGTGCTAAGTGCAGGTTTCAGATTTGCTTTTGAAAGCAGTGAAAGCAAGGAAGATCTAATGAATGAAGAGAGAGAAAGCGTGTGTGAGGGTGAGAGAGAGAGAGGAGGCAATATAATGTGGTGGTATGTTGGGCCAATGACAAAGTACAGAAAGCCATCAATCAGTGTCCTCAACATCATCAACCTCCTTCTCTATATTTATTAGACTCTACCCTTAGAGACATTTGTTTTCTAAAAATATCAATCAATGTAAAAGCTAAAAGGTTAAAAAAAAAAATTTGGTTAAATATGTTTTTACTTTTTAAAAGATTAAATAGTTTTTATTTTGTTTTTTTTATATAATTTGTATTTTATTTAAAATAAAGTTTTTAACTTTTAGTATTATGTCACACTAGCTTATTATTTATTTATTTGTTAAACAAAATCAAGTCACTTTTCTTATGATATAATGTAAATATGTACTTTTATAGTTTTTTTTGTTTGTCACAATTTTGACATACACAAATATTTACAATATAATAAATGTTTATCATTTTATTCAAAACTACTTTTAATTGTAAAGTATAATTAGTAAAATATAATTAAAATTATTTCGAACTTAAAAATATTATTGATATAAATCAACATTTTTTTAAAGATAGTGGTGACATATAAAAGCGAACGGAGAGTATTTATTTTTATGACTAAAAATAGTGATATGAAATTTTGCCAGACTAAAATAAAAAAAAATTATAAAGACTAAAACTAAAATTCACATATTTTATCAGGATTAAAATTACAATTTAAAAAATTGTAAAAAAATTAAAATTCAATAATTTTATAAAAACTATTTTTTTTAATCTTAATATATATATATATATATATATATATATATATCAGTGTTTTAAAATTATAATTTTTACTATGAATTATTTATTTCAAGTTCAATGTAATGTAATTATTATCTTCTTTTTTTCTATGAATATTAATTTTATTTAAAAATAATCTGAGATTGTGGTGGTATCTGATTCTGCGACGGAGTGGCTTGGCAGTGTCTCGTCCTTTTCACTTCCTCTCTCAAGATTACATTCGCAAGCGCCGTCTTTGCCAAAAAAAGTTTCCATATTTACATTGTGACACCTTAAACTCTTCTTATTTCTCAATTCACCCCCAACTTTCCTTCTCTTTAGCATCTAATTCTTTCCCAATGTTTCAATCAACTTTTATAACTATTTGTAGAAACAGAATAAAAAAATATTTATTTTTTTAATCATGTCAAATTATTTAAATTAACCTTAATCCAAGTATTCAGACTAAATTACAATATATAATAAATATGTAACACGTTCGTAAGAATCTTTAAAGAATAAAGTATAAAATGAATAACTATTGATTAAAAAAAAGTTGTTGAAATTTTCATAACTTTGTAGTATGTTAAATTGGCATATAAATATATTTTTTTTAGCAATTATAATTTTTTTATCCTCTAAAAATTATAGCTTATTTAAAAAAGATATTTAATACTTAAACTAATCATTCTTGTATAAGATTGATTATAGTTTTTAAATTTACAGGGTTAACAGAAATATTCACAAATTAGTATCATAATAAAATTAAAATATTTCATAAAATATTAAAAATAAAAACACCAAAAAACTAATTTTAAAATTGTAGTTAACCTTATTTGTGTAGTGATGATTTTTTTTTTTAATATTCGTACTGGGAAACTTTTTGAGTGTTTTTTTGGGCAAATTGGGCCTTGAAAAAGGCCATTAAAAAGGGACGATCCACTGCTCACATATGAGTTTATTACAAATTATTATACATGATAAGTTTGTTGATTTTTACAATAAATATCTTAAAATTTATATTATCACTCTTTTTTTTAAATGAAAATTTCAAATTTTTTACATTATATATGACCATTAAAAATAAATATGGATAATATTAAGGCATTTGAAAAAAAAAAAAAAACTTTTTATATTCGTTTTCTTTCCTTTTGGGGACAAGGGGAATGCATGGAGGGAAATGCATGGATTCAATTCAATCGCTATCTGTCGCAAGGTGATGGTGAATATTGATGATGATGAGGAAGAAGATGATGTGTAATTGTACAGTGTGTCAATTATGGAACAAAATCGGTCTTAAGAGTACTAAGAATATTATAGAACAGAATTATACAACATTTCTCTTTGATTCCCCATGACGCAAAATTAAGATAGTTTGATTCCAAAAATGAAAAGGTGAAGGATTTTCATAATTATCACATTATATACCCAGAAACTCCACTTTCAATAGAATCTAATCCCTTCTTTCACACCTTTTAAATTTCCATAAACTTTCTAATATTAAAATGTCCCTTTTATTTTATACTAAACTGTTGTTTTTTCTTATATTAAATAATTATATAAAGTTTACATCATAAAATTTAATTATCTGACTTAATATTTATTAAAGAATTTTATTTATTATTATTTATTTTTAAGTGTAAATCCAATATAATCTTGATTATTGTAATAAACATCATACAATATTATAAAGAAAAATAATAGCTGAGAGCTGAAAGTCCAAGACAATTGAAGTGAAAAGGTACATTTTGTATGGAACCAAACACACACGTGAGACTGCACTTGCTTTGTCAATCGAAGATGTCTGAGATTTCAGGTTTCACACGTTTAAGGATTTAAGCATTGATTTAGTCTTTTGATGTACATTCAAACATCAACTTTGTTCTTGATGAATGGTTTTCATATTATTGTCAAATTATATATGAAAATGAATTTGAACATTCACTCTTTATATTTGTTCATTTGTTCAAACATGTGAATCCTTCCATTCATCTACTCCTTTATAACCAAATTAATGGAAGCAAACAGAGATAAATAATCTCGCATTTCTTCCTTTATTTTTCATCTCCACTAGTGAATTAATAGAATCTTTATAAAGAATGAATAAATATTTGTAAAAGACATTACAGTGTCTACTAGCATAATAATATATAATAAAATTTTACTTTAATGATGTTTATTATATTCTTCGTATGGGCTCAAACTTTAATGGTATGGGATCAAAACTTTGTAGACAATATTTTCTTGTCTTCACATGGATTGACATTATTTATGCTTTAAGGTGTAATGCTTTATTCGTGATTTAATCTCAAAAATTGTATTCTTGGATACTAACCTAGGTAGATAAATTTCTAACCATTTATATAAGTTGGGTCTTAAGTCAAATATTAAAAATATTATTACATTATTAAAAAAATTACAATAACTATTTCAAGAGACATACTTTTTAAAGATGTATTTAATTAATTGATAATATATAATGGTTTGGTAGTATAAAAACTTATATTAAACATTGCTTATTTATTACGTTTATGTTAATGTTTCTATTTTTAAGAAAAGGATCTTCATTCATTAAACTAGCTTTGATGTTCTCTTAATTAAACTAATATTTACTTCTATAAAATAGCTCTTTTTTTAACTTAAACATAAACAATCACATTTCTTAAATTTTGTATAAATAATAGAATTGTGAGTAGTTTATGTAAACAAATTTCTAATTTACAAATATTTGTCTAAAATATTTCTTGAATTACTCTAACAAAAGTTTTTTTTTAATCTAATTTTCTTCAAAACCAAGAAATATAAAGAATAAAATACAAAAACAGGTATTTTTACTGGTTTGATTCTAATCGAATTTAGATTCAATTTCACAACTTGAGTTCAATTATTTTACTATTCTTGAATATATATATTATTTGACATACATTATACAATGCCTTCAAGAATAAACATTTCTTAAAAATCTTAAAAAGAACAACTCACGTGCATAAACTAGATCAACTACACCAAACACAAATGCTAAAGAAATTTCAGAAAAGTAATAGAATCATATCACCTTTTTTTATGTGATCAAAATCCAAAACAGAGAAAATTCTTACAAGCTTATCAAGTATAATCTTCAATCAACCAAATTCTTCAAAAAGAATAGAATGTTCAGTAATATAATTTGAATATTGGATAAAACTTGAAAGCACTTTTTGAATAAAAAAAAAAGTACTGATTTCAAACTTAAGTATTTTTTAAAATCTGAGAGAAAACCCATTAAAAAGCTTAAAATTGCGGGGAAGCCTTGAGGTTGTCATATTGAGCTTAAAGTTGTCGAAGAAGAAACAGAAAAAGAAAAAGAAAATAGGAATGGATCAGTAATTGCTAAATAATGGTTGAAAATGAAGACCAACAGTAAATTGCAGTCGTAATTTTGCTTCAATATCCACCTTCATAAAAATACAGATATGATGGTCAACTGAGAAGGTGAGACATAAGGGGATACCATTATTCTACCTTTCACATAAAGGGCTTACAGAAGTTAGTGGAGTGTTTCAACTTTGAACCTTTAAGGTCCACCTGAAGTCAAGGGCTCTTTTCTTTCTCTTCAGCCAACAAAAAATTTCAACAACAACCTTGTGCATGGCACAGAAATAAAGTGAATATCACATTGCTCACTGTGGCCATGAACCATATGCCCTCCTAGACCTGAAAGGCACAAGGTTTTTGGGAAACTAGATCTATGCATGAAATTGGAAGTGTTACTAAAGGAAACCGATGTAGGCTTTTATCTCTGTTACATTTTAAAAATGAAATGCTATAGTCGTGGCTTAGGACCCTTCCTTATAGGAATATCTAGGGCATCATAATGACCAAACCCGTGGTAGAGTACTCTAATTGGGTTTTCTTTACCGTATTCTTGGCCATACTCAGCAATTGATATCAAGCCACCAGCATCCTTATCATACATGTATACAGTGATAGGCATCCTGCATAATGGGCCTCTCCCATATTAATATTAACTGTGTATAATAGTACATGACTGCATGTGAATTCACTTGCCCAAAAGGAAGAGAGACACTTACTGCAAAACATGTGATGCAACGAACAATTCGGGTTCACCTCCCCACACATGAGGCTTCCTTATTTGTGATATATATGTATCAAAATCACCTTCAATAAACCTAAGATTTCATGGTAGAACAACGTTCATTAGTAATAATCATTATCAATTTCATCATTATACATAAAAAAAAAAAAAAAAGATTGTCCTACTATAGACATGAAAAGCCAAAATTGAAATATTGTGATTTAAGATTAATACTTTCCTCCAGAAAGTGATGTACAAGTTATACTAGTAGAAGAACAAAAAATAAAATAAAATTAAAGTGATGCTTGAGATCGACTTATAATGACAATGTTTTTCCTGCTGTTTTTAAGATGTCCCCCCACAAATTGGGAATATAGGCAAACTACTTAAGCTTGGTTCATTTCTAATAATTGTATCAATACCAATCAATTTTATGTCGTACTTACCATCAAATACCCAGTCCTACAAATTTTAGACTCCAAATGTCTAGGCATAGAGGTGAGAAGAAGCGTTAACTATAAAGATGTCCCACGTTGGCTGGTGATATGACCAAACTATTCCTTATAACGGTCCAGCAATTCTTCTCACTTGAGCTAACCATTAGAGTTGAGTTACGAATGATTCATTCCTAATAGTCTTAATAAAAAAGCTTCTGAGGAAAAAAAAATTGCACACCTAGTAGGGAATTTGCTTGTGCAAAAGCATATTTTGAGGACAAAACATGAAGATTGAAAATGAACTCTTACTGTTTATTCGAAGTAGAAACAGTTAATGTGATGTCTCAATCATTCTAGTATATTTTTAACTTGTATTTTTAGCTGTATATTTGTTACGAGGGAGGAAACAGATTGAAAGAAATGTATTAATAAATTTGTCAATCAAGCAATGCAATCATCAGAATGCTACAGGTATCCAATAGGGCAACTCACCATTCAGTCTCTTCCCTTCTTTTGATAAACTCATCAGCAACCTAACAAATGAAAGACAAAATTCAAGAACATGAGCTGAGTGAGGTAAAGTAGCGAGCAGATGACTTCAACTGCTTTATTCGGAAGTTACTATAAGAATAATTTGAAGCGGTGATCCATGACCAATCAATATAACCTCAGCAATCACTTTGAAAGGTGGTGTTTTAAACTTGTTAGCATGATGCATAGAGATACATAAAACATACTCTAGCTCGTAATTCATCTGCCAGCTCTCTCTGGATGCTGTCGCTAGGAGGAGGCTTTCCGGACCTCAAACACGCCCCACGAGCAACCGAGCGGAATAAGCATCTTCCATCCCCTGGTATTCCTGCTCAGCAGCATAAGTTTAGTAAACAATGCAGTTACTAGATACGAATGCCTAGGTTCTTATCCGCATCAACTTGCACATTATATATGCACAAGTAAGCATTTGAATGGACTTGTATGTGTATGTATATAGACTCTAGAGTCTTAGAAGAAAGTGCAGCTCACCAATTACGGAATAGTCAGTATAAACTTTCTTCCCATGTGAGAATTTAACATTTGACTCATAATCATCACAGTCATCTTTCCTATTTTCATTTTCAGAATGTGATTCGGCATGAGCAGGCTCTGAACTAGAACTACATACAAGTAATCCAAAAATCAAGCCAACTGAAGCACAACCCCGAGGCCAACTTACTGGACCAAAATTAAACTTAACTTTGTGCCGCATTTTTGGTTTGGGTAACAGAAGCCTCAGATTCATACCTTGGCATGCCAATGAAATTTCACGATACCTCTTCCGAGGTACTACAGAACTAAAGAATCGAGTATTTCCCCCTTGCTTGGAGCAGGATGATCCAAGGAAACCTCCTCTAATTGTTTGGCCCATAACAGTAGAACAAGACAATTTTGTACAAACAGAAAGATCAACATGATTTATCTCTGACTCCCCAGGAAATGAACCTGAAGAAAATGAAGTGCATATTCCGCGGGACCAAAGTCCATGAATGTTACTGCTCATCAGCAGTGGAGTTCGACCTTTCAGGACAATAGCATTTATTGTAGACTGACTAATAGAAAAGCAAACACTCATGTTTACATTGCCTGAATAAAAGCCAAGCATATTCATCAGAATTTCAGAAACTATCCAAAGTAACAGTATAATTTTTATCAGAATACATTTTTTATCAGCCCAGAGTAACATTACTATGAATGTACATATTAGAACTAATATCCCCATAAACCAATATCATATGCCAGTTCCTACCTTAATTCTCAAGAAAAACAGTTAGCTGGATTTGGAAGTCCTTATCATGTTAATCTTGTTCATAAAATTCATATCACTTGGAAATTAATATAAAATTGCATAAACATTATTTTTTGTTTTTAGTACATGGACATGGATCTCTCAGTATCAGAATCTGACAACCAAGGCATAAATATTATTTTAAATAGTATACATATAGTTTTAAAAACAACATATATGTCAACTGTTTAAATAGTGGTAGTAACTTACTCAGCTGAAGTTCAAAATAACAGATCTACGAAACAAATGCTAGTCTAACAGCACGATTAGTCAAGTTCACACTCAATAAGATAAAAATCACATTGCATAAGAGTAAAATGACATGAGCAAAGACCATTCTTTTTTTTCCTTTTTTGTCCATTGTCCATAAATGTATTCAAGGACTCATTCTAGAGGCACTCCCATCTATTCTTCCATGGATTTCCAGTAATTTCTGGTGTTAAAAATTCAATTTCAATATCATTACACAGCAATTATTGTATTTGAAACCATTGAAGGATTACTTACATTCTAATCAAATACTTGGGTGGGTGCTATGGACTCATGGCACTGGCAAGCAAGAGATTCAAGGACCAATCTGAATGTCTGGTAGGTTCAAATGTTTAAATTTTATGATGTTTCTCACACCACGAACAGAAGGGAAATACCAGCTTAACTCCCACAATACAATTTCTAAATTTAAAAGAATGTACAACGGAATAGAAGTTAGTTTCACTATTTTCCTTCCCTTACCATTCACATCAATCCATATCATGCCACAATACACCTATACAATATTAAGAATCTAATATCTCCATGAAAAGCAAGACTAAGAATGCATCTGGGTAAACTCTTTAATTAAATACTTATTCAATGAGGACTTTCTACACTACACAGAAGCTTCTGTCATAACATGAACAATATCAGGATAAGCTAAAAACAACTTATTTTGATAAGTTTCTCTAAGAAACTTTAAAATATTGAGAGAATCTTACTGAAATAAAGTAGAAAAAGCTTATAGGAGTCATAAGATTCATAGAATATAAACTCTTCCAAACACGTTCTAAATAGCACTAAATCAAAAATGAAAACAGGAATCAACCATGTGATTCTCATCTTTAAATGCATCTTAGACAATGTGTTAAAGCAATCTACACAATTAAATTAAGAATTCGTTTGAACCCTGCAGTGCTTCTTTTCTCCTACTAATCAGCTGAGACTCTCTATTATCCTCAGAAATCTGTAATTGAATATACTAAAATGCTTCCTTAAAAAGGGTCCACTTAAAAATTACATACAAATATTTAAATTAAATATATAATCAATTTATACTCTAGTTTTACCAACAACATTCCAGGTGAAAAAACTTCAATACTCCATTCTGAAACAAAGTAAAGTAAAGGTGCATCTTTTTTATGAAGAGAAGTTATTATTGTTGAAGTTTGTTCCATTTTGTTAAATAAATGCCTGGAACTTTGAAAGATTACATAGGTAGGTTTCTTAATTAGGATCCACTTGCTGTACAATCTTGAGAAAATTCACTAAATTTAACATTTTGGCTTTTCAGATATTCTCATTTGAATCACATAAATTTCCCTATTTATTCCAATACAACTTGAACCCATTTCAGTTTTTTTTCTAATTGACCCATATCAGTTAGTATCATCAACAACCGAAACTACCAAAATGACACATTAAAAAATATCCACAGATTAAAAAATCTAAAGATTTAACATGGGTTTTAACATAGCATGGGTCTGCCAGGAATTAAGGATATATGATACAATATTACATAAAATTCAAATTCCCAATGCCTCCTACTACTGAATTTAAGATATAACAATTACAATATAAAAAGGGAAAAGAAAGAAAAAGGCAATGGAGAAGAAAGCAAAAGGTGAGGAAAAGCAAACCTGTTGAAGGCGATGAAATGAAGAGTGTGTAAATGGGTTTGAGACTCTAAAGGGTATAGTGAATGAGAAAAGCTACAATCTGGAATTGAAGAAAAGAATAATAACAATAGTTGGAAGATGAAACTGTGAAGCAAGATTTTCAAATGATGATTAAGGAAGTTCAGTATTCTTCAGCTCCTCCCTGCAACCTCTAGTTCCTTCTGGATTGGGTAATACGGGTCAGGCCCAATCCTATGGTCCGATTAACCCATTCGGCTTGGGCTGGAGATTTTGTAAGGGAACCTTTTTCCAAAGACAAGTTAGTCACATAAAGACAACCAGTGCAATCACATAAAGACAAGTAACTACTTTGTATGAGGCTTAATTATTAATGTTATCATCAATTTATTTACGTTTAATTAAGTTTTTCTTCATGTTCATATGACTTATTTTTTTAATCTATTCAGATTTGTAATACTTTTTAACTGTTATATTTTAGTTCTCATAAGAAATTATTATTAGTTTAACGCTAAAAACTTTACAAATTAAATAATGTAAAAAAAATATTTCAAACTAATATTATGAAATTTAATAAGGTACAGAAATTAATTAAATAATATATTTTTTATTTAATATAAATAACATAATCATATATACTATCTCTATTTTCTTATTTTTATTACTTTTTTATAAAAAAATATTTATTTTCAATATTTATTTTTTATTCTAATTTAAAATATTGCAAGTTTATTTATTTTTCAATGCAATAAATATTTATTTTATCTATAAAAAAGTAAAATATTATGTTTCATATTTTTAAAATTACTAATTATATTATATTAAAGTCATATTTAATATAGAAAATAATCATTATTACTTTTTATCTTTACACAAATTTAAATTAATACCAAAGAAATTCATTTATAATATGTCATTATATAGTATCACTATTAATCATTACATATAAAATGATAAATATATAAGTATATATTCTAAAAATTTATTCATAATATATTAATACATTTTTTCACTGTTATTATTCTAAAATAATATAAACAAATTTGTTCATTGAGAATTTAAAATAAATGCAAGTGGCTATATTATTCATACAAATATTAAATATATTATTTAATTGAACAATATACTTAAAATAATATAATTATTTTAATTAATATTTTATATTTTTAATACTAAGTTAATTTAATTTAACAATGAGGACTAAATAACTATTAACAAAAATATCAAATATTTAGAAATAAAAAAAATTATAGAGGCTAAATTTAAAAAAGATAATGTTTACGTGGACTTTAAATATATTTTACTAAATTATTTGATATTAATCTAAATTTTACAAAAATATAAAACAAATGAATAATTATTTTTATATTATGTATACTTTCAATATATTATAATTATCATTTATAAAAAATAAAATATGTTTTTTATTTTAATAAATAAATTAATCTTATCAAAATTAATCATTGAAGTTGGAGTTTTATATTGATAATTTGTTTTTGTATTTAATAAAAAACAAATTAATAATTATTTTTATATTATGTATACTTTCAATATATTATAATTTTATTTCTAAAAAGTAAAATATTTTTTTATTTTTATAAATAAATTCATCTTATCAAAATTAATCATTGAAGTTGGAGTTCTATATTGTTAATTTGTTTTTGTATTTAATAAAAAAAATCATTGTGCATGTTATTGAAATAAAAATCTAATTTTAATTAAGATTGTAAATAAACTATTGGTATTTTTCTTTATAATTATCCAGGTATTATTGGTTGATACTTTTAATTTGTAAGAGAGTTCACAAACAACTCTTTAATTTTTCTTATGTTTAAGTAAGAGTATTTCTTTTTAGAATCAAAATATATTAGTTCTAATTAATTTTGTAGTTTATACTTTAATAGTATCTTCTTTTATACTTCACTTAACTTTTCCTATATTTTTTGTTTTGGGTAAAAAAATATAAGTTTACCAATGATAAAATATTGTTGAAACCAAGTGGTAATTAGTGAAAAAATTTATTTATATAAATTATATAGAAAATAAGTAACTTTATATTCGACTTAGCATTTAAAAATGTAATATCAAATACAAAACAATGCATTACATTATACAAAATTACAGTATATAATAACTTTTTGTTTTTTTATGAGAGCGAGAGCGCGAAACATCTTAATATTTGATTTTAAGATTTTTCTTATAATTTTATTTAATAATAATATATTTAATAGTTGGGTGTAACAAGCTTAACAAAAAAGAACAGTATTTGATGATGCCAGTTGAGTGGTGTTGTTCCCTTTCTACCACCATTCACATTCTTTATTTCTTTTTCTAAAAATCAAGGTTTCAATTTTCATATGCAGTGTGGAACGCATGCAACTTTACTCTTCCCTTTTTCGACAGGCGTGGATGCCAACAAAGATTCAATCTTTCAAGCACTCTTTTCCCAGCTCTCACACAATCCCCACTTTTGAATTTCGGATCGGTTCCAACGGTTACTCTCTACCCCTTTTTCTTTCACAAACCCTATATTCCTCCCTCTCTGTAAATGGGTTGGAGTCTCATCTTCTGGCTCTTCATTTGTTTCCCTACCAATATTGCGCTTCTCGCCTCCACTTTTTACCAGGTCTTCTACTTTCCCTTTCCATAATTTATTTTTCGACAAAAACTTTTTTTATTATTATTATTATTATTTATTTATGATTGTTTTTGTTGGGTTCAAGGTTTTGATCCTGTCTGATTTGGAATATGATTACGTCAACCCGTTTGACGCTTCGTCTCGGATTAACTACTTCGTTGTTCCGGAGTTCATTGGGCAGGGAGCGTTGTGTGCTCTGTGCCTCTTCACTGGCCATTGGTTCATGTTTTTGCTCACAGTTCCTGTTACTTGCTATCATGTTAGACTGTAAGTTATCTTGTTCTTGTGTTTTTACCAGATGACAGTGAACGATGTGTTGTTGTAAGTGGCATTGTGTTTGTTTGGTGGGGTATTTTGGTGTGAAGTTTTTGGTGCAGATACTGTCTGTGTGTGTGCTTATAATAATCTTATGGCTGAAAAAAGGAGCTTCTTCTGTGAGCTAAAATGAACTTGTTGCATCAATTTCTCAAGAAGTTAGATGAGAGATTTTTTATAAAAGTTAGAATGCATTGATTGATTTTAACTCTTGGTGGAGGTGAATTTATTTAACCTTTATTATTTTCTTTTGATGTGTGATTATAGAAATTTATGAGGCCCAAGAGTTTTACTTTCGAAGAATTTATGTGAACTGAAAACCAAGCACATTTTGGGAACTTTTGTGTTTTTTCCTACATACATGCATGGATGCCTGCACAGGTTTACTTCACTTTTGCTTGGGGAGTCAAGGGAGTGAGGGACATGGATGATGTGATTATAATTGTGCATTTATACAATCTTTTCTGTAAATGGAATATTTCTCTCTTTATTACAGTTTGAATCTGAAGTTCTGATTGAAACTGCTACTCTGATAACACCTCCTCTGTTATGAAGCTTTTACTACATATTTCATTGTGACAAAGTAGACGAACTTCTTTAAACTTTCTGTTTTGGCTATGGCAGTGTTTATTTTTTAGTTGTTTGGCATTTTTAATTTAGTGGTTTACATCTGAATATGCAAAAGATTCTTTTGAAGTATTCCTCATAACTTTCCTGTCAATCTGAATAGGTTATTATTCAACAGAGGTTTTTGTTAAATCAAGAGAACAAATAAATGCTAATAAAGGCTCACAAAGTTAATCCTTAGTCCTGTTCTGTAGTCTTCTGTGGCCTCATCTTGTGTTCTCATCCTAGCTGTGACCCATCATTAATTTCTCCAATTTCTAAATATAGGCAATATGAACTCTTTCTAATTTTATTTTTTCTCTGCGGATACTTCCACAATCTCTAGTAAATTTATTTTATTCCTTTTTTAATTGACAAAACTATGGTTACGACTTCTTCGTTACTCAAATATCTGTCCTCTAATATTTCTAGTAAGTATACTGAAACCATGGTTGACCTCCTTGGCATAATACCGAAGTGAATTTTGGTAATATGATCTTATTTATCAACTTGGTGAATCATCTTATTTTTGTTTCTCCCAAACTATGCCATTATCTCTATTATTAACTGTTTATGTTTGTTCTTCCATCAAGGACATATTGTTTAAACTTTTATGTTCTCTTTTGTCATGATTATTCCATTTCTATACTTCAGGTATGTGAAGAGAGAGCATCTTATTGATGTTACTGAGGTGTTTAGGGTAATTAGTGCCGAGAAGACATATCGGATAGCCAAGCTTGCATTATACTTAACGGTTCTCATTGTTACTATCTTCAGGTTTGTCACACCCTTACAATATAACATGCTTATCTACACTGCTTTGGCTTGTACGGTCTAACTGCTTAACACTGTATCTATTTCTTTTTCTAATTAAGACCTTCCG